TGCGCAAATACTTGTTGCTTCGTAATTATTTAAAACTCCGGTAACCATGGAATTATACAGACTGACAATAAGATAGACAAGGATAAACGGTAAATTCGATTTGTTGACGAAATGTCAACCTGTTCTCATAACCTCGAATTCTACGGGGTTTGGTGTTTACAAAATTTGTAATTTAATAATCCATACAACACCAAACATTTGAATGGTTAACTCCAAACAAGCTAGTGCCTCTGTAATCTACTTTTCAGTTAATTAACTCGGGCTCCATTTGTATATGTTGTTATATTATCTTTTCTTGATTCCAGGCAGCACTTTTTGCTTTTCACTTGTTCTAATTCGAATGACCATGTCTCTGCATTTTTCTTTATCGCTTTTTGTATTTCTCCTAGAACTTCTAATTCTATATTTTTCTTTAATATACCGTTTTCATTGAAATTATACAGTTTGTACTTAAACTTAAGACTTAAGTTTTTCGATAACTTTCGCTATTGTATTGTGCTGTACAATCAGTGTCGTGTCGTCAGCGTAATGTAATAGTATGTGGGAGGATTTGTCTATGGCTTTGTTATTAACTAGTAAATAGTCTATTTGGTTTTAAAACGAAGAATATTTTTATTTATCACCAGGTTAGTTTGCAAAGGTTTTTACAAATTACAAGACCTCATTAACTAAATAAATTTCTAAGTTCAGTAAATGATCGAAAAAGGAAAAATTTAAAGACGCTCACATCCCAGTAGTTTAACTGCGGTTGATAAGACGCGATCTAACTAAATTTTTGCTAAAAACTAAAAAATCGCGCTTAACCCGCGCTTAAAAATAATAGTAAAAACTAAAAACTTGATTTTGAAAATGGTTACAAAAATATTCCGATACCGGGAATCGAACCCGAGCCTCCTGGGTGAAAGCCAGGTATCCTAGCCACTAGACCATTTGGGAGAGCCAACTGCCACGAGGAGTTCAGATGTGGCCAAAGGCAAATTACCATCAAGGCCGGGAAGAAAATACTGACTGACACGCCCCTCTACCACAACAAACCGGACGTGGTTGTGTCCCTCACCAACCCGGACCACATCTTTGTGATCGAAGTGGCTGTGTCACACCTGCAGAACATCAGGAGCCAGGAAAAGCTGAAGAAAACGCGGTACACGGTCAATTCCGTCATTAAGACCGACGGATTTGATGTCCGGAACATAACCCGCGACTTCAACCTGGTGGACGAGCTAAAGCTGATCCATCGATGCCCTGTCACCTTCGCAACCTTTGTTGTGGGATGCTATGGCGAGATTCTGGCCACGGAGGACTTCCTCCACTTCCGTGATGTGATGACAAGCCTCAGAGTCACAGCCAGAGAGTGGCAAATACTGCTCAACCGAACAAGCCACAGCGTAGCAGTCTCCACAACAAACATCCTTCTGGGGAGGATCGAGAGGCAGCACCGGGTCTGAGCAAGACTGCCTCCCACAGTGGCCGGGGCTTGAGGGGAGTTCCATCCCAAACCACAGGGTCCCAACACTAAACACTAACTATTTATTCAGATACGTCTTATTTTATAATTGCGTAACTTGTAAATATTTATATATATGTAAATAAAGAATTTTAGACCATATCGGAT